AATAATCCTGTTCTTCTCCTTAAGGAGGAATGAAGGCCAGGATGAGATCCATATCTAATCTAGCTTCATCTCCTCATTTTATTGTTCAGTCCAAGAACAATAAAAAGCAAAACAATCCACTGACCAAATAGATCAACTTTCTTTCAGCTGGAGTCCTCCAGAGGTCTCGATCTTCAAATCCTATAATCCCCACCTAGCAACACAATTGGAGGAAAAGCTGAAATGAGAGATTGGCCTAGATTGGTTAGATTGTGACAAAGAAATTAGCCATCTTTTCGACCTGGAACAAATTCATGGAAGCTCTCCAGAACAAACTAACTTTTTCTGTAGAATCAAGACAAATGACTTCACTGGGACTTCTTCCAAACTGATGAAAATGCAACAACAATGACTGAACCTGGGATGAAGGAGGAGAGACACACGTGTGCACACATGTGGAGGGGCATGTTCGGGGATGGGCAAATGCACAGGGGGAAGGGTGCATGCATGAGGGGGTGCTTGCATTGCATTTTGGGGACTCGCATGGCTCCCCATGCCCTGTTATGGGCCTGGAAAGCCTCCTACACCAACCTGGAAGCCAAAATGGGTGAAGTGGAGGCAGGAGGTAAATGGGGGGGGGTGTCACACACTTATGCATGGGGGGCAGGGCACAAGGGGGTCATGTGTGCATAGCATCATGTATGTATGTGCACGCTTTTGACTTGTGATGACAAAAAGGTTAGCCATCCCTGTAATAGACTATAGGAAGAACTTTGAGGAAGAACTGCAATCAGGACAACAATGGTCAAATAAAAGAAATCTGAGTCCAGGGCAGAAATGTAATGTGAGGAAGCGTCTCAAATGTGACCCTTTTTAGGAGAAAGAAAAAGAAAGCGCATTCAGACTTTCAAGATTCTTTTAATGCAACCTTATAAATGCAACATTACACATTAGCATTCATAACTTTACCTTCCTAGTCCAGCCTACTTCCCAAGGCTGACATTAGAGGATCTTCATATGCATATAGAACAAAGACAATATTCATATTATAGAGGCCACTTTGATGTGTTTTATGATGCATGACATGAAACAGCAAATAACACAGAGTTCTTTGAACAATGACGCCAGAGGTGGGTTGCCAATTTTTCTACTACTGGTTCGGGCGCGCATGTGTAGAAGTGTCCAGGTAGGTGGATGGAGCCTCCCCCACCGCTACTACCAGTTCCCCCAATCCAGGCTGAACCGGCAGCAACCCACCTCTGCATGATGCATGTGCCATCATTTTGATGTCACTGTGGCTTTTTTACTGACAGGGTGGATAAAAATCAATTATCTTTTTTAAAAAATAATAAAAATTGATTTTCTTAAATTGGATTATTTTATTGAAATCAACATTTTTTTAAATTTTTATCAAATTTATTTTAATAAAATGCTTTTGGTGTAAAAATCTATCTAAAGATAGT